GGCGGGGCGGCTCCCTCCCGCAGCTGCGCAGTCCGCCCCTGGCTCCTGACTCGGGGGCAGGTGTTCGCAGCAGAAGTTCAAGGTAGTCCTGGCTGTCGGATCTCCGGCGCTGTGACTCCAAGTCCAACAGAGGTTTAATACCCAGGCGTCTCCCACGCAGGTGTTAGGTCCCTCCCACCCAGGCCCCAGGGTGACTGGTGCCAGCTGAGACCAAGCATGGCCCCGGGGAGTTCATTAAACTCCTCCACCTTCCTGTCCGGGGCCCCAGACCTTAGCTTGGCATTCTCCGATCATAACCCAAATGCCCCCGCTCACCTGGGTCCTGACCCTTCGAGGCCATTTGAGAAAGAGGTGGGTGAGGGCCCTGGGCAGGTATCATGCATAGATTCGGGGAATTTACTGTGCCTATTCCTCTCCCCTGTCTTCTCCCCTTCAGACCCCAACAGCCCCTCACTCCAGTATTCTGGAGTCTGTACTGACAGGGGACCACCACGACTGCTTAATTGAGACCCCCTCAAAGGCAAGATTGAAGTTCTCCTCCCCACCTGGTTGAAGGTTCCGTGGCCTCCCAATAGCCCTAGATCCTGAGAGGGCACCCAAGGACATTGGCCAGGAACATATCCTTGATTGAGGATGTTTCCTGCCCCAATGTCTGGCCAGCTCCAGGGCCAGCTCCAGCTAGAGGCCAGGGCCATTGCCCTAAGGCTCAAGGCCAAGATCATGTGCAAATCCTCCCTCATACCTCAGCAGTGCATGTGAGCCTGTTATGATAGCTGAGAACCTTCCAGAGCCTGGAATTGGGGCAGGCCCCAGATACTCCCTCTCCCCGGATCTTTAAGAATCTAGGTGGATTCTTAAAAGCTGGATGGATAACCACTTTTCAGTGCCTCTACTCATGCTATTCCTTTTGCCTGGCATGCCCTTCCCTTCTCCCAGTGAAACTAACTTCACCCTCAGGACCCAAATAAAATGTCTTCCTCTTCCGGAAACCTTCCTCCCCAGAGGAACGCTCTTCTTTACACTCTAAGCACGTTAAGTCATCCCACAGGTACTGGCCCAAGCACACAACATTCCAGTTCATTATATCCGAGCCCTGTTTCCCCCTTCTGGCGGGAAGCAGGACTGCATTTCAGCTAACCGCAGCCCAGTTCACGCTGATGGTGAACTCACTAATTCCTAGGGAGCCCTGGGGCCCTGCCGTCTGACCGAACGCTGCCATGTCTAACGCCTCTGCTTCCCCATGCAGCTGTGAGGAGCTGTGCCCCCCTGGGAGTCATGGGGCTCACTGTGAGCTGCGCTGTCCCTGCCAGAATGGGGGCTCCTGCCACCACATCACAGGAGAGTGTGCCTGCCCCCCAGGCTGGACGGTAGGTGGGCCCACGGGACCTGGGTGGGACCCTGTAAGAGGGGTGAGCATCCCTCACTCACACACCTTGGGCGGGCTAAATTCCTCTCCCACCCTGAAAACCCTCCCTCCTGTCTGGGTCATGGGCATCACTAGACACTGCCAGTGGACACAACTTTCAATCACGTCTGCATCTAAGGGCTGTGTGAACTGATGGCAAGTTACTTAACCTCTCTGAGTCTGTGGTCCCTCATGCTCAAAGGAGTGGAAATCTAGATCAGCTTTGTCCTTGGGCATAGGTACTCACCTGAGCTGCCGTGGGCTCTGGGCCAGATGTGGCTGAAAGAGTGTGGTATAAGGGCAGGGGAGCAGGTGGGAGGAGGAGGGAAGATGGCAGCGTGTGGATCCCCCGAGGTTCTAGAACTTCAGATATCCAGCCTCTACCCCCTGCTCTCTCACGCACACATCCTGGTTCTGTGGGCCCAGAATCTATTTTAACATGTGCTCCAGGCGATTCTATGCAGCCTCCACCAGTCCAGGTCTTGTGTCTGGGAACCACTACATTGGAAAAGGGAATTATAACCTCACAGGCCTAAATTCAGGTGCTACCTCCAGTGTTGACACTGAAAAAAGTACTCAGTTACTCTGGTCTCTGTTTCCCCCTCTGTAAGCAGAACTGATACACTAGTCAAGCCCTACCCCTCATAACTGCCATGCTTGGGAAAAGGCTCACATGAGGCAGTGCATGTCCAAAGTGCCTTGCAAACTCTGAAGTCCTTTATAATTGCTTGTGTTATATCCCTGGATCCCACAAACAATGCACAAGCCTCCTTTTTAGCCAACACACTCCCTTCCCCTGCCAAAGACCCAAGCTTCTCAGGAGCAGCAAGTCCATAAGGCTGACTTTCCTGGGCTGTGTTCTGCCTCCGACTCTCCAGGAACACCCCCTGTTTCAGGGGAAGCTGGGTGCCCCAGCTGGCTGCCTCCCTTGGGGCCTGAGACTTTGCAAAGCCAGAGAGGACGGGGTTACTGAGCAGGAGCAGAATATTTCAAGAGGCTGTGAAGGCAGAGGTCATGGGGAACAGGCAGGGCGGACGCCTGCAGGGCCCACTGAGGCACAGATGTGCCAGGATTTTCTAGAGCAGGAAGGGATCAGGGGATGATTTGGTGCAGCAGTGTCCAAACCTGGCTGCACGCAGAGTTTCTGGGGGTGGGGACCTTAAGTACACATTCCCAGGCCCCACCAGGAATCTTCTGGGGCCTGGATCTCTATCTTTAATAAGCTCCCCAGATGATTCTGAGGCAGCCAACCCTGTCTGCTGGTCTGCATTTGGAAATAATTGATCAAGACTATAGGATTTCCTTCTGTGTTTCACAGAACCCTAGGGTTTCTTGGGGGTGAGGGCGAGGAGCCTGATAATTAGGGCTCTCGATCCCACTCTCCACCTCTTCTCCATTTGAATCTACTTTCTATATGGAGGTTCTAGGTAAAATTTCACATAAAAACGGGGTCTCCCAGCGTTTAGAGTTTGAATACCACTGGTCCATCAAGATGTCCCTTTCTCAGATGAAGAAGTGAAGGCCCGGAGAGGCTGAGTAACCTGCCCAAGGCCACGCTGCTGGTTAAGAGGAAGGTGGGCTAGTATCTGGGTGTCCTGACTCGGGACTCCCAAAACCCAGCCCTTGGTGTCTGAGGACAAAGGGGACTACGGCTGCCTCTCCCACACTTGCCCATTTCTCCCACCCTGAACCACTCTCTGGGAAGACCCTCTTATCTCCAGCCAGCTTCCAGAATTCCACCACCCACAGACTGGGTCCTCGGAGGCCTAGCAGCAGGCAGTGAGGTTGGCTCTGGGGGAGGTAGGAGGAGAATGGGCCACAGGCAGGCCCTGTCCCTGTAAAGGCCTCTCTGGAGAGACCGATGGAGGCCAGTGGTCAAAGAAGGGGAAGGGAGGAGGCCAACACATGGAAGAATTTCTTTTTCTCCCCAACACAGTGAGAGGTTTGTTCTTCCCGGTGACAGAGAGCTCTGACAATAGAAGCCTTTGGATTTGGAGACTTTATGTTTTTAATTTTATTGTAGACAATTGCATTTCTATTTTTGACATAGCATTTAACTTGCAGATTTGTATGAATTATTAATACCCCTCATTCATGCAGAGTCACAGTGGAATGAAGCTGTGGCTCAGCCCTGAGGCCCCTCCCAGGGGGGGCCTGGGGCCCAGAAGAGGGTGCTGGGCGGAAGGGTCCTGCCTTGATCATCCTCCAAGACCTCACTTTCTTGTTGGGCCCAGGTGGCTTCAGCCACACTTAGAGATCTAAAGAATACAATTGCTGGGTCACACAGTGTGGCTCCCCAAAAGACTGAGGCCTGGTGCAGAGCTAGAGAAGAGCCCCAACATAAGTGGGATCTCTGGCCCTCCAGGCCCCTCCTCAGAGATTCCTGGCCACCAGGCTCTAAGTATGCCTGTAGGACACTCCACTTGCCTAGCTGTCATTAGCTTGTGCCTGGGAAATTACTCTTTCACTGTTCAGAGGAGAGAAAGCAGGTGTGAGTAGTTGAATGAGAGTGGGCACTGCAGACAGAAGGGGAGGTAAGAGATGTGATCGGGCCCCGTTAGGAGTCCCCAGTCTGATGGTGGATACTGGATATAGCGTATGTATGTACATGTACACACACACACACACTCACACACACACTCTCACTCTCTCTGTCTCTCTCTCTTGCGCGTGCGCAAACACACACACACACACACACACACACACACGCGAAACAACAACAGGCCTGAGGAGAGATGGGGCTGAGGTGCTGGGAACTAGGACCAGGTGTCCCAGAGAGCCAGAGATTGGCCTTTGGAGCTGAGGCTGCAAAATTACAGATGCTCAGGTGTAGGAAGGATGATTCGTAGAGACCCACGCCCTCGCCAGTACCTGGACCATTTCCTCAGCACCCACACCAGCCATTGGTCACTGACCACTGAGAGCATCATGCTACCTGGGACGGTGGTTGGAGAGGCTGAGTGGTCCCTTCTCTGGGAGAATCGATGTGACCTGCCTAAGTCCTTTTATCATTTTGCTCCATTTAGCCACGGTCCTCTTAAAGAGTGGCTGGTTTCCAGATTTTGACAAACCATTTGGTCTAACCAGTTCTGAGAGGAGGGAGACTATTGCCTCCCCTTATCTCCAACCTTCTGGATGCCACACCGCCCAAGATCCCGCCACAGTTGGAGATGGGCCCTCTAGTTGACCATAGAGCAGGTGTGTTCGTGTGCTGGGGTTGTTGTAACAAAGTAGCAGAGACTGGGGTGCTGTCTTTTCTCACAGCTCTTAAGGCTAGAAGTCCAAGATCAAGGTGTTGGCAGGCTTGGATCCTTCTGAGGCCTCCTGCCTTAGCTTTTAGTTGGCTGCCTTCTCCCTGTGTCTTCACAGGGTCTCCCCTCTGAGCATGTCTGTGTCCTAATCTCTTCTTCTTATAAGGATACCCATCAGATTAGATTAGGGCCCACCTTAATGGCCTCATTTTAACTTTATTACCTCTTCTCTTAAGCTGACACTTTGCTGCCTGCTCTCTCCCCCCACCCAACCCGCAGTGCCTGTTCTTCCAACCAGCAACATTACCAGTTAAGGTTCTCCCACTCTTTCAAGGCTCTGCTGGTCCTGGGCCCCTACGATGTGCAACATTGGGTGTCCACTTCGGTGGAATTAATATTATTAATTAAGGAACTGCTCTTTAGGACACTATACTAGGTTCCTTCCCATCTCTAACCTCACTTAACCTCCACAACCACCTTGGAGACTGGGAGTTATGACTCCCATTTTATAGGTGAGGAAACTGAGGCTCAGAACAATCATAGGGCTCATTCTAGCTCAGCCATCTGGGAGGAGGCAGAGCTGGGACTTGAACCCAAGTGCTGACTTTGAGTCCAGTGTTCTGCCAACCATACCAGGCAGCAGGCCTTCCAAGGTATTGAATTCCTTCAGGCTCCAGGAGCTCAAGCCCGAGGAGGAGCCCAGGGATTCAGGCACCTGGGTGCCTGCAGTTGGGAAACATTGAGCAGGGGCTTAAGGAGGTACTTGCCCACCTGTCCAAAAAGTCTCCAGGATGCTTGATTTCCTCAGGAAATGTTGGAAGGAAGTACTCTGTGCACAAAGCTTCCCTACTGGCCTCCTCAGGGGGCCCTGGTCATGTCTCAGAAGCTTGTGGGGTGCACTGAGGAAGGCAGGCCTCTGTGGGGAACCCCTACCACCTCCAGGAGGAAGAGGCCCCCTTCCTCTGTGGTTTTTCCCTGCCCCTCTCCTCACATACACACTCATCTTGCTGTCATCGGCTGCTGCGTCTGCCCCTTCAATCCCCATTCCCCTGTCCCACCTCCACCCCTCACCTTCTCACATGTGGGGAAGAGAAATCTGAGCTAAAAGGTCTCCCCCTTAATTCATTACAGTAAACTGGATGATACTGAAAAATGAGTCGGTTCTGGCAGCATTTTCCTAAGCAAACTAGCTTCCTCTGGGTTGGCAATTATTGGTGCTTAATAACTGTGTGTTGAACTAACTGATTAATGAATTATGGGAGAACCCTCAGTCTCCATAAGAGAAATGACTATCTCTGGTGTGGGAGCAGCTGGAAGGGCAGCCAGCTCCAATTTCTGTTTAATAAAGACCTAAGATTCGTAGATATAATGTTTGAAGTTATCTAATCCCACAAGGCTGGTACTGGATGGAGGGGAAAATAGTTCTCCGACTGACTCACAAATCCCACTCCAGAAAGGCAGGTTTGTTCACATTTTGTGTTTCTTCTGGCATTTCCATCCATATTTCTGCACCACATATTTCACTGCCATTTCCTGACTTTTCCATTGTAGACATGTGTTGAAACTGTTGACTTCCTACCATAGAAGGGCGCCTGGGTGGCTCAGTCGTTAAGTGTCTGCCTTCGGCTCAGGTCATGATCCCAGGGTCCTGGGATCGAGCCCCGCATCGGGCTCTCTGCTCAGCGGGGAGCCTGCTTCTCCCTCTCCCACTCTGCCTGCTTGTGTTCCCTCTCCTGCTATCTCTCTCTCTGTCAAATAAATAAATAAAATCTTTAAAAAAAAAAAAAAGAATAAGATTCAGATCAGATACAGACAAGTGCAGCCCTTCCCCCACCCTCAAGTGGTACTTTCTTACAATTTTTGGTTGAATCATTTTGATAACATTAATGATTTCATAATGTCATGACATAATGAATTCAAAATCATTATTTATGTTGATATGCTCACTTACGTATCATTTACTAGTTCATCCCTAAAACTCTCTGGCAGAACTTGAAAAGACCTCTCGATAAGGTCAGACACATCAGATATCTCTCAGTTTGGTTTTTGTTTCTGTTTTTTACTTTGAGGCCGCACTCCCACACTGAAGCTTTGTGTGTTTCAGTTCCCGCTTCCTGGTGTCGTTTTGGACTCCCTTTCACTGCCACCCTGTAATTCCCTTCACCTGTCTCTTCTGTTGGCATCCCCATTTCTTTCTTTTTCTTGGATAATTCTTTTTGATGAAAAGAAAATCCTCCAGTAGCTTCCTGAGAAAGTTCATGGAAAGTTAAATTTTTTGAGGCTGTTCAAATCTGAAAATGCCTTTATTGAATCCCCACTTAAGTGTTAGTTTAGCTGGATATAGAGTTCTAGGTTACAAACTATTTTCCTCTGAATTTCTAAGGCATTAGTCCATTATCTTCTAGCTTCTAGTTAAGAAGCCCGGTATCTTTTGGTTCCTGTTCTTTTATATGTGACTTTCTAAAAGCTTTGAGGAGAATGTATCCGTAGAAGTATAAAAATTTATAGTGATAAGCTTTAATATGGGTCTTTTTCACTTTTCACGCTGGATATGCTATAGGCCTTTTCAATTCAGAGATCAGTGCTTTCCATCTTCCATTCTGGGAAAATTTTCTTGTATTATATTTCCCATTTAATTTAGGCACCTCCATTTTCTCTGTTCCGCTGTCAGGAATCCTCTGTTACTCAGATATCAGACCTCCTGGACGGATCCTCTAATTTTATTATATTTTGCCTACAATTTCCTTCCTTGGTGCCTCCCCTCCTTCCCCTTCTTTCTTGTTCTTCTTTGTGGGAGATTTCCTCATCCTCCAGCTCTTCTATTGCAATTTAAAAATATCTGCCATCTTATTTTTAGATTTCAAAAACTCTTTGCTTTTCTCTGGATATCCCCTTTTATAGCACTCCACTCTTTCATAGATAAAATAATTTCATATAACTACCTACAGATAATTCATTTTAATTATAATAGAAGTTCTTAATTCTCTTTTTATAAGTTTTCTTTGCTCCCTGCTTAGTTCCCATTTCCTCTGTGTTCCACTTGGGTATTTGTCTGCTTAGGTCTTCATCTGTCTTGTTAGAGCCTTATTTGAACTATCTGGTGGTCCTTCACCACCTGTTCATGTTTTACGGTGAGCCTCAGAAAAGCTGGTTGGAGACCTGTGGGGGTAGAGGGAGTTGCCAGGCTTGTTGACTGATGGGACCCTTAAATATCAGTATCTGTAGGTCTTTCCTTCTGAGTTTATCGGTGCCCCCCAGAAAAGAATCCTCCAAAACCTTGCCAGTGGGAATCAGCAGTCTAGTTGCTGAGCAGGCAGAGGTGCACGGGATCCCCATTTCTCCTGGCACCCCTTCAGCCGTGCTTGGCATCCTCATGTCCAAGCCTACATGGGCCAACCTCTTCAAAAGTCAACTGCCAGGCTTCTGCCAGACTGGGCAAGTCACCTGGCTATTTGAAGCGGGGGCAGAGATCTGGGGTCTTATTCTCTCTTTTATACACTTTCAGACAGCCCTCCTGTTTCAGCATACCTGCATTCTGGCCCTCAGAGGTTCCTGATGTCTCTGATTCCTGAGCTTTTCCGAGGTTACGATCTTCCAGCACGTGGCATCTCGTGTCCTGCATGGACTCTGCTCCCATTCCTTTTGTCCTTGTAGGCTTATACCTTTTCCCCCTTTGCTCTTGTGTTAGCAGGGTTTGGGAAAGGAGTGGAAATAAAGTGTGTGTTTCCAGACCAGATTCTCTTTGTTTTTCCTCGGCACTTTATGGTAGGCCAGCGTGAGAGCGCTTAGCCACTGTGCTTTAGTTATCTGCATCTCTTACCTCTCTCCCCAGTAAACTGGGAGCTCACTTCCTCATATTTTTGTCTCCCCAATGTCTAACACAGTGCCTGGTATACAGTAGGCACTTAATAGATGTGTGCTGAATAATCGGAGGAGCCGATGGGCCTCAGTCTCCCTATCTCTCCAATGGGGCTTTAGAGCCACAATGTCCAGCTTCTTATGCTCCTGTGATTGCGGAGAAAGTCCCACTGAGGAAACGGGGTGGTCCCTGGGGCTGTACCAGCTGTGCCAGTTCTAGGAGAGAGTGACGTCATGTGTGTCTCACCTCCTCTGCTTCAGGGAGCAGTGTGTGCCCAGCCCTGCCCACCCGGGACGTTCGGCCAGAACTGCAGCCAGGACTGTCCTTGCCACCACGGAGGGCAGTGTGATCATGTGACCGGGCAGTGCCACTGCCCAGCTGGCTACATGGGGGACAGGTAAGAGGAGAATTAACTATCGTCCTTGCCATGCGTGTGCCTCATTTTCCCAGAGGCCTTGCGGAGAGTGGCTGAGGTTTCCCAGCCCACGGCATTCCTCTGTGAGCTTTCCCGCCTTCTCAGGAAGCATTCGGAGTCCTCAGGCCAGGAAGATTCATCACTCCTCCTTCCTGGCCCTTGGCCTGCGACACGCACCCCCCTCCCCCTGCCCAGTGACCCAAGCCCTACGCTCGCACTGACTCACCGGGAGAGGGAGGTGGGCACCTATCACCCACTCTGCTACCTGCCTTACTGGAGGGAGGCGACGGCACCAATAGTCCAGAGAAGCTGGGAGTGCACACTAGTTCACACATTTTGCATAATTTCTTCTAGAACTAAATTTTGATTCCGAATTTGGGTTGTACCAAAAGGATACTGGCCTCAGTTTGCATCCTCTGAGGGCTAGTGGCCTGACAGCTGAACAGGGGCTCCAGTGTCCTGGAATCAAACCAGCCTTGTGGAGCGGATAACCCACAGAACATATCACTGAGGAATTCCCGTGTGTGCACGTTGGCCGAGGCGGGAAGAAGGATGCTGTGACAATCGGGTAGGTGCTGTGGAAGAGAGAGAGGCAACAACTAGTGTGTTGGATGGTGAGTGAATTCAGAGCTAGAAGAGGACATTTGTCTCGGACAGGACCCGGCTACGCTTCAATTATATGCATCTTTTCTAGAAGAGAGAGGAGCGGTAGGGCAGAGGTTCTCACACCCCTTCTCTGCTTCTGTGGGATCCAGATTTCATCTCTGGCCCTGGATTTTGTTACTCGGCCCAGACAAAGCGAGGCAGGAGGAACATTTTTTCACCATCCCCTGCTTCCCCTGCCCAGGTAACATCAGCAAGCAGGGATTGAAGCTGAGTCAACTCATCGATCCTTCTGGCTGTGACTATTCCAACTGTCACTGGAGTCAGCCCCAAATCCTTGGTGATGTCCAGAAAAGTGATTTTCCATTTTTTGCCTTAGGTTTGTTTGCCTCTAGCCTAAAGTCTTTTGAGCCAGATCTGATCTCTTTGTAAGCTAGTGTTCATCTACATGAGCTTCCCAGCCTCAGAACATGGGGTATGGCATCCGGAGATCTTCCCTGACTTCTTTCAGAGAGGGGATCTCTGGGGGAAGTGGGTGGGAGGGGGGACTGAAGCACTGAGCCCAACTTCCCATCCTCACCCTCTCCCCCAGTAAGGGAAATGTTCAGGATGAGCTAGTAGGGTCAGGAGACGGAAGACCCCAGAACCAGAACGGGACCCTTTGTTTCAGTCCACTTGCACATGAGAGGTAATCCAGCTCACTTGCTGTTGGAGATGAACAGGCCCGGACTTCCAGCTGGTGGGACCCAGCACCAGTAGACCCTACATCATTGGCTATCTCAGTTTTCACTGCCAAGATGTACCCAACAGAAAAGTAATCCTAATCCCTCATCTTGTTGGGGCCAGCCCACGATCCCGGGGCAGAGAGATATCCCAAACCCTTGGGGGCCTCTGAGCAAGCTTCACCCATTAACTATAGAGAGTTCACGGGGAGAGCCAGGTAGCATTTGGGTTTCCCACCTCAATGGGCCGCCTAGTGCTTAATATTTTATAAAATTGCCTCCATTAATTTTGTAGGTGACAGCTGCATTAACCCTCCCCAAATCATTGCAAGCATATTAAAGTTGAGTGGGTGTAATAACGCGGGCCCCCCTGGATAGGCAGAATCCAGTGCAAATTAAACATGAAACGTAACGAGGGCTTTGCAGCTCATTTTGTAATTTAATTGAGCAATGGATCTGGTTGTTAATGGCAATATCAGACACATTAGATTGATATGTTGCAAAGGAAAGATGTTTAAGTAGAAAACTAATTCCTGCTGTGATTACCCTTCTGTTCCACAGGCCCCGTTATTAGTGTGCTTTGTGGAAAATTCATTAGCAGTCATTGCTTGATCTCTAAATAAGTAAGTTGTTTAAATTGTGAGTAGGAAAAAAAAAAAAAGCTGATTATGTAAATGGATTAGGTTGTCAATATTTCATTTCCAGGTTCTTTTTCTGGGGCTATGGAGTCAGTCACTTCATAAATATGGCGGTGGGGGGGGGCGGGTAGTGCCCTTCATGGGGAGCTCACTGGCCGGGGCTCTGCCCAGTCCTGCTGGGTGGCAGGGAGCAGGAATGTTCCAGTGGAAAGGTAGAGTTGTCAGGAGGCTCTCCTGGCTTGGGTTTCTTGCCCTGGTGTCTGAGACATCTGAGGAGAACCAAACTGACTGACTTCTGAGAAAATCCATTCTGAGGCTGAAGAGGAGCTAACAATTCAGATAGTGATTTTCCAGCCCTTCAATGCTTTGTGTCCTGCCCTTCTGCCTCAGCTTCCCTCTTTCCCTCCCCTATCCCACTACTCCTCCTTCTTCCTGTCTTCTACCTTCTGTTTCTTCTCCAGACAACCTCTTCCTTCTTCTCTCTTTTCTCTTCTCTTTCCCAAATGGGACCTTGGACTGGCTAAAATGCCGCAAGATCTGGTGGGCAACAAGTTGGGGTCATCTCGGCCACTCGCAGGCTGTATGAGCTTGGGACACACCTCACTTGTCTGCATCCCAGCCCTCTCAACTCCAGAGTGAGGGTGATGGGCATACCCCCTGCTTTAAGGGCCCGGGGCCCAGCTTTAGGGCCTGCCTAGCTGGGAGCCCCTTTCTGGCCGTTGCCCCGGGCTGTGACCGTGCTCATCCCTACTGCCCCTCCATTCCGCCATGGACCTCCGTTTGCCACAGTGACTCTGTGAGGGGACAATGGGTGGCATCTTCCTTGGGGAAGCCCTCAGGGTTAGACCCCAGTCACCCTACTCCTCTCCCTGTCATTGTGGGCACAAGGTGGCAAAGAGAAAACAGTGGCATCTGGGCAGAGTTGCCAGGACTCGCATCCGACACCCCGGCCACTCTGGGCCTCAGGCACTCGCCGCCCAGCCCGACAGCATCGCTGGGGCCCCGCCACGTGCCCTCATGAGCAGCGCGCGAGGGCCCCCAGACACGGCTGTCCCTGCCCTGTTGGGGAGAACGGCACTGTCTCCAACTCATGACTCTCCAAGATTTAACAAAGAAGTTAGGGCTGTATTCTACTTTTTTAAAAAAGCATCTTTTATTGCTCCCTCCCCACCGCCATTGTGGAAGGCACAGGAAACCAGAAAATGGTTGTCTGGATGACAATAAGAACACTTTAGAATTCCTCAAGTCCACTCGGTGGGTAACATTTTGGAATTCTTCCCTCCGAGCCAGTTCATGCCAGTACCTGAGGCGGAAGGTCGGATGGGCTCTGTTCCGGGAACTTCAGAGAACGGTATTAACAAGAATATTAATCGTAACTAACATTCCTTCCTGAGCCCTTACACGCGTGGGACACCTTTCCAAACGTTTACACACCTTATCTCGTTTAATCCTCAAACAACTTAGTGAGCTTTAGGTATTATCATCCCATTTTATGACGAGAAAGCCGATGTCAGGACTGACCTTCCAGCACCACGGGAGCCGTGCCGGGACGCGGGTCATGAAAATCCCAGAGGCCATTTCCCAAGTCTCTGGGACGCAGGAGCCGCCCGCCTCTTTTACCCTGGATGCCCGCAGGTGTCCCCCTGACCTTGTCAGGGTCCAGGTGCAGGGCAAAGACTCTGCATCCCTGGGGAATAGCCCCAGTCTGGGGTGGGGGGCGTCGGGCAGTCGGCAGCGGGCATCACACTCCCCAACAGAGGCTGTGAGGCAATGAGTGGAAGGATTATGGTTACGCTGGGCGCTCCGAGGAGCAGGCAAACTACTTGACACGGAAGGAGCTCAGTCCTCCTCCTTCCGGGGGAGGGGGGGGCAGTGCTCACTGGCTGATGGGCGAGGGTGCGTGCTGGTCAGATCTGGGAGGGGAGGGGGCGCAGCCTCAACCCCCGCCTGCTGTCCTGCAGGTGCCAAGAGGAATGCCCCTTCGGGACCTTCGGCTTCCAGTGCTCACAGCGCTGTGACTGCCACAACGGGGGTCAGTGCTCGCCCACCACAGGAGCCTGCAAGTGTGAGCCTGGCTACAAGGGCCCGCGCTGCCAGGAGCGGCTGTGCCCCGAGGGACTGCACGGCCCCGGCTGCACCTTGCCTTGCCCCTGTCAGGCCGACAACACCATCAGGTACGAGCTGGGGTCCGGGGATGCTTGGGTGGGTGGGCACCGGTGGAGAGGGGGCTTCTCAGGGCACAGACCCCCACCTCCAGCCCGGTCACCCAGGCAGGGCAGCGAGAGAGCTGGGGCCTCAGCAGTCCCCTTTGCTACCTGACGACTCTGATGGAAAGAAGGGGAAGCCAAAGCCACACAGGTAGCCAGGACCGGGACCCAGGTCACCTGCCTCTGTCTGCCATACCTGGCTGCCAGCTTTGAAAACAGGGCCACCTGAGACCTGCTGCAAAGGCGCAAGGAGGGAGTTGGGTGATCCTCAGGGTAGCAGGGCGGGATGGAGCCGCAGGGTCCTGTGGTGCTGGGATGGGACAGTGCTCCGGGGGCATTGTCCTTGAGAAATGTCCCCTCCACGTGCTCTACACCTAACTAAGCCATTCCCCAACCCCTAGAGGCCCGGAGACGAGACTGCCAGGGCAGAAGCAGGGGCTTGAGCCTCAGAGGGCCCATACTGGAAGGGACCTTAAAGGTCAGTAGGGCTCTCCCAGGGCCTGGTGAGGGCTGTCCCAGCAGGCCCTGGCTAGGGTGGAGGAGCAGGAGGGACAGAGCTCAGGCCCAGCCTCTCCTTGCACTCTGTGTCCTTTCGGGCTTGAGGTCGCCTCGGCTGAAGCTGGCCCCATGAGGGAGGAGCTTCAGGGGAGCCTGAGTCTGGGGAGCAGAGAAGCCAGAGCGCCCCGGCCCCCTCTTCTGCATCTCTTCACGTCCCGCTTCACGCACCAGCTGGCGCCACCCTCTGGTGATAAATGAGGCTGTTGGCCCCAGAGAAGGCCTCCACAGCCTTTTATGTGGCTGCCCCTTATCTGGGTGGCGAAGGGTGGGGGAGTCTCCCTTCTCCCCTCGGACCTGCAGGACAGCTCAGGGGAGGACTGGCAGCTCTGGGCGGTGGGTATTGTGGTAGTTCGCAGGCCAGAGATGCCTCTTCTTTGCAACCCCGTTGCTGGGACAGCCAGGGCTTGGCCTCAGCCCCCTCTTCATTTCCAGCTTTTGATTCTCCACAAATGCCCCAAGAGCCTCTGGTCACTGCAAGTGTTTTGGCTTAGGTTGAATCTGTCCTTGGTCCTCAGTCCCTGGAGCTGAGCGGCTAGGGTGGAGCCATCTGCAAGCTGGAGGGCTGGGAAGGAGGCTGCTGAGAGGGGCTTTGGAGTCAGCAGAGCAGGCCCGTCTATGACCCAAGCACCCATTCACTCAGTCATCCATTCAGCAAACACCGAGTGCCTGCAGGGCTGGACCACGGGGAGGAAAAGCGAGTCCCTCAGCACCAGTCCAGCCCTTGGGAACTCGGGTCTGGAGCACTCACACACACTGAGCACCTTCTACCACATTTCTGCAAGTACAAGACAGTCCCAGGAGTGAGGCACAGCCCTGTTTTATGTACTCCTAGGAAAGGAGAATGCTATTAACTGAACCACGATGCACCATTGATTGTATAGCACACCCAATATCTGAGGTGTGAAATGTGGGGGAAAGTGCATCTTAGAATCAGTGAGCTATGTGTGGCTGGCCCTGCTGGGTCCCAACGTGTGCTCAAGTAACTGTGACCAGGGCTGTGTGTAGAAAGCACCGGAGGAAACTGCTGTGCTGGTCAGGGAAGTCTTCTTGGAGGAGGTGGCCTCTGGGCTAGGTCTGGAGGACAGGGTAAGAGCTTTAAGGCTCTCAAAGACAGGGGTTCCCTATGGCCGGCCAGAGGCTGGGCAGCTGCCTCAGCCTGTTGCACAGGTGGAGAACTGCACCAGGAGCCCCCACCCCTGCTGACAGCCAAGGGAGGACTCTCTCAGGGCCCGGAAGCAAGGCTGCCGCTGAAGTCCAGTGCAGGGAGATTCCCTGCCACAGAGATCCAACCAACCCCCAAATTAAAGAACCACTGTTTTCCTCCTGTGCCTGAGCAGCCGTGCCCTGCATAATTTATCCTTCCTCTGAAGGAGTCCTCGATGCATTATTAATCTGGAAGGACTCCCTCTTCTCCGTCGCTAATCTCAGCCCATCCAATATTGATGATTGTTTGCTTTACTGTCTTTAACACGTGCTCCTGTCGCAGGGACTGGGAGTCAGCAGCGTTTCTTAGAACTGGGGGCTCCAGGCTGGGCTCCTCCGTGTCGGCACGACACTGAGCTGTATCACAGCCCAGGCCCCTTGAGGGCAGGAGTGGCCTGGCTGGTCCCCCGCTGCGGCCTCAGCACGGCGCGGGGCCTGGCACAGAGCATTCAGTGAGAAGAATCACCGAACTCCCCCCGCAGCAGCGCATTCCTCTAGGTGCTTCTGCCCCCGACCTGATATCTGCCTTATTATTCTTTTTAGTGATTGGCACACTGGCCCAATAACTGAACCCGCAACACTCACACGTTTTCATTCGTTCTACCTCAAGACTGTCTCAGCCTGGCCACTATTGACATGGGGGGCTGGATAATTCTTTGATGTGCATTGTAGGGTGCTCAGCAGCATCCCTGGCCTCTCCCCACTAGACACCAGTGGCAACAACCAGCCCCCCAAGTTCTGATAGGCAAAACTGTTTCCTGGGTGCGGAGGGGAGAGGCAACATGGCTCCTGGTTGAGAGCCTCCGGCCTGACTGAACTCTCTCGTGTTGCCCTTGGCTTTGCTCTCGTGGTCACAGAGATCACCTATCTTCCTCTGTGTGGACAGGTCGCTCCTCTCTTCCATGAGCCTTAGTCCCATTACAGAGCCTTCTCTTGGGGTCCAAGAAAAGTAGAGGGAGGATTCTCTGACTCCTAATCTCGAGGCAGTTAAGCTGGCCTGGGTGGGGTCTGGGACCCCTGAGTCCTGGCTGATATGTGTACTTGTCCTCTCTGTGTCTCAGTTTCCCAATCTGTCCATCCCTTTTCATCCGCCCAGTGTGGGTAAAAGTTCTCTTGTGGTCTTTGCAAGTGAAGCTTCCACCCAACTCCCTGAGAGATGGAGTGTGGGATCCCCAGAAGCCTAGCCTCATTTCCCCCCTGGCTTCCAAGAGTGCTTAAGACAGAGCTCCATCAAGAAGGCTTGCAAGGCCTTGCAAGGAGGATCTTTCCCAGGAAGACAAAGTACTCTCAAGCCCCAACTAAAGGAAACCCTACTTGTCTGGCCCCAGCCTCTGTCTGCCTGGTGCCCTCTGAAGAGGCTGCTTCAAAGAGGTTGAATCCACATGCCCGGGGAAGGAAGAAGGGGTTGGGGTGAGATTTCCCTGTCACTTCGTTCTCTTTATAAATGCTCTGTAGCGCACACGAAGAAATGATCCCCCTTTGTAAAGGAATAACCTTGAGAAAGAAAGTGCCTGTGTGTCAGGCCTCTGTCGTGTCCCCTCCACAACTGGATTGTCGTAGACGAATTCTAGCAGCCATGATCGTGTATTACCTTTGAAAGATTTTATTTAGCCAACACATGCAGCATTGATAGAAATCTCAGAGCAGCCAAAAAAAGGGGGGAAAAAAACAAACAGAAAAATCCACCATGAAAAGATTCCTGTATTGTTCAGCTTTCGGCTCCTATTAACTTGTGATTAATCTGTATCTGGGGAAAATGGCAGAAAGACAAGGAAAAAAAAAAACGAGAGCAAACAGCCAGCCTGAACACCACTGTTTGTGACTTCTGCCTGAGCCTCCCCAGCAGTCACTTGCCCACCGTGTGACCAAAGGGAATGGCTCTGCCCCCACGGGGCGGAGGGGAGTGGGGAGCAGGGGTGCCTGGGAGAGATCAGACGTGAGGAAGACCCCCAGTTCTGGGTCATAAACCACTCGGCCAGCCGTCGCTGCCCACCCTCTCTTCAAAGGGATTTGAGAGGTTTTATAATAAATGATAAGCAATCAAATTAAGAAACTAGAAATCTTGGTTCTTTACATAGTATTTTAGGGAGGGAGAAAGAAGTGATTGCAGAATCGGTTTCGAGCTTTCTGGTTCTTAGAGTGGAAAGTAAATTTGGCACTGAGCACAGCCCTAAGCAGCCAAAACAGTGGCAGCTGAGACAGCAAGCGGGCACTGCTGGAGTTCTTAGAAGTCAGTGTTTGCCTGCCGGCACGTGCCTGGTAGGCGCCTCACAGGGTGGTGGTCCCACCGGAGCCAGCGCCTGCGACGAGAGAGCCCACCGATGGGAAGGGCAGAAGCGTGCCTGAGACCCTTGGGCATCGCCAGGGCTGGGCGGAGCTGCCGGGTCCGTTTGCTAGATCCACGGGTGTCTGTCTCCAGGACCGTCACGGAGCCAGTCCCTCTAACCCCAGGGGAGGCCCCTGGAAGGTTGGAACCGAGAAGGGGCTGGCTCAGAGTGTTGAGACAGAGCGGCGTGCCCCATGTCTGTCTGGCTGAAGGTCAGGGCCACCACGTGGGGACCCCCCGCCCCATAGCACCCATTCAACCTACTGTTTCCCCCTCATCGTGTGGGGCTCAGGGAGGAGTTTGTCTGGAGCCAGGAAAGTTAGGAAGTCTTTGAGCCCTCATCCCCTTACAGGATTCTCCTTTTCTACCTATTTACAATTTTCATTGCTTTACATTTGTTTATAAATGTAAAGGATGCTCGGGCGCCTGGGTGGCTCAGTTGGTTAAGCGACTGCCTTCGG